TGATTCGTCAGAAGGAGATCAGCAGGCCTGTTTCCCTTTCAACTCTATGGTGTGAATTGGGTGAAGGTTCACAGAGCAGACTGCTCATCAGTTTTACATTCAACAGTTCATACATTGAAAGCCCCTCAAGGTAACATCACCTGCTCCACTTCCTTCCTCTTTCCATTGCTCCTCTTTCCTGCCCTGTCTGCACTTTGTTAGTGTGTACATGCTGCCCTCTCGATCATTCCAAGGTGCTCCCACCTCACTGGTGTGACTGTTCCTCTTGGAGACCTGCTGCTGCAGTTCGAGGGTGAGTTCAGTTCTAGACCTGAGGAGTGACAAACGGCATGGTCTTGGGGCCGTCTATCTGATCAGTAAGCCTGCTCTCTCATAACTGTGAGTTTTGTTCCATATTTTCCTCCTGTTCTACTCAGGACCTCCTAATGTCAGTCCTCTGGAGGCAGTTGGTAATGGCAGGCCGGTACCAGCTAGTTCTTTTGGTCTGAGGGTCATGATGTTCCCACGACCTGCTTGTCCATTGGATTAATTAGTTCCATGTGTCTTTGGCTAATTGCACCTTAGCTGGCTGCTCATGAACTTTTAAGACCCCAGTTGACATTCACCAAAGTAGGATGTAGAACATTGTCTTCGTAGACTGTGCTATGCCAATTGGACTTCATATCCCCCAAGCATATGGTACTGAGCCCCCAGACCCAGCAATTTGTTCCTTCAATGTTTTTTATTATATCTAAGAACTTTTCACCCTGTATGTCCTACCTCATTTGTGGATATATGTATAGCAAAAATAACCCATGTATAACTATTCTCTATCAAATCTATGCTTTTCATTGATATACTCCCACTCTCCCTCTCTGGTCAGCCTGGGTGTCTATCCATGTAACTAGTCCCAAGTGACATTATTGTAGGAATACACATACAAGAGAATTTACCTGTTTTTCTTTAACTCTTGCATTCCTCCTTGTGGTAGTTACATAATCTTGTGTCAATTTGAGGATATTAAGAGCGAAGGGGGTGGGGCTTAGCCTGTCAATCAGATCACAGCCTAATGATGTCTCCTTGTGGCGTGTCCTTCTCATGAGGATTCTGGGAACTTCCACTTTTCTCCAGAAGGTGGGCTACACTCTCTTTGCTTCACCTTCCTGTTGAGGAGCCACATTCAGAGAGCTGGAAGAGCCAGTCTGAGATGCTTCCACCGGCATTGGATCCACAAGACTTTCCACCCACCATCCTTGATCTTCCTGCATTTGGCATCATTGCATGTGCTGTGTGAGTCTTAAGAGGAACTTAAGGACTAGTGTCAGATATATGGGCTAATATCAGACTTATGGATTGATCAGGACTGGGCTGGGATCTTTTCTCAATATACGATTGTTCTTTGATAAAATCTCTCTCTTACACACATATGAATGGCTCTGGATTTGTTTCTCCAGTCAGCCCAATATAACACACTCCTAATGTCTTCTCCTGCCTCCACTAGTTTTCTCGAACCTCCCTATTACTGTAGATTGGACAGGCTTTTCTGTGAGGTGGCTCTGGGTTAACTTGAACCCCCCACCTTTTGTTTAGCAGCCAATCAAATGATCACTTAAGTCAGTTGGGACCCCTAAATGTTTATAGAGCTCACTTTTTCTTGTCCAAGTTCACTGCAAAATGTATAGCTCTTCTCTTTCTTTTTGATTTTCCTAAAATGTCATTTATTTATTTTGCTGTCATTGAGGAAATACATAGGAAAACATATACTAATTCAACAGTTTCTCCATGTAAAATTCAGTGACATTAATCACAACTTTCAAGCTGCACAAGTTTTTCTGAGTTATTCTTCCCTCATTAACATAAACTCACAGCACTCCAAGATCCCTCTGTAATCTTTCAGAGTTGCTATTTTCATTGAGATTGAGAGGTACACACACACACACACACACACACACACACACACACACACACACACAC